GCTCAATCTGAAGGCGCGCGAGGCCCAGGAGGAGGATGAGGCCCAGGAGGAGGATAAGCAGGCTGAGGAGGATGAAACCCAGGAGGAGGATACGCACGCCGAGGAGGACCAATCGGCCACGCGGCCGGGACAGCATCCGGCTGAGGAGGATGGGGCCCAGGAGGAGAAGAAGCAGGATGAGGAGGAGAAGCGCGCAGAGGACGCAGCAGCACCAGGAGGAGGCAGCGGGGAGGACATCTTCGCGGTTCAGTCCGAGGTGCGAGCGTTCTCTCGCCCGGCGTGCAGGGGCCGCCATCGAGCGCAGACCCGCGATAAAAGGGGCCGCCTCGGAGCTCGCGCGGCGACGGCGACGCCAGCGAGGAGGGCGAGGAGCGAGGAGGAGGTCGAGGAGGAGCCGCGGAGGAGAGATGCACATTGTGCGATTTCGAGCCCCCCTCGGCCTCGGCAGCGAAGTAATGTTCCCGGAGAGGCCTCCGGGAACATCAAAAAGCATGAAATTCGGCAGCCGGGAATTACCGGGGTGCACCCCTAAGCATCTACCGTGACAGCGTGAACGTGCATGTCGCATTCACTGCCGCAGCCGATGCACCTGACGGCGGAGGCCTGGACGACGCGCCTCCGGAATATCGCGACATCGCGAGGGGTTCGGCCATGCAGATCGCCAGCGTCGCGGACGCGCGGAAGGCGCATGGCCAGGAGCGCGAGGAGTGGAAGCTCGCGCTGGAGAGCGAGCTCGTGTCGCTCCGTGAGGCTGGCTCCTACGAGGAGTTATCGCCCTCCGAGCGGGCAGCAGTTTCGCCGCGCAGGATCTTGCCGATGAAGGCGGTGGCAGGAGCTAAGGCCCCCGACCCGACGGGGAACAGGAGGAATAATATTCGGGCGGTCGTCTGCGGGAACCACCGGGAGCGCGGCGACGACGAGCAGGTCTACGCGGCGAGCGAACGTGGACATCTCTCTCCTCGGCGAGGGCGGCCCCGGCCGTGGCGCCGTGCAAGGGTTGGGCCGTGGGCGCCCCGAACATCATCGCGGCGTTCCTGAACGCGGAGCTGCCTGAGGAGGTCGGCGAGGTCGTCGCGAGGCCGCCGAAGATTTTCGTCGAGCACGGCCTCTGCAAGCCGGGCGAGCTGTGGAGGGTGGAGCAGGCGATCTACGGATTGCGAGTGCCCCCGCGGGCATGGGGCATCGAGCGGGACGGCGATTTGCGCGCCGCGCGGGTGCAGCACGAGGGCATCGAGTGCAAGCTCACGCAGTCACTGGCGGGCCCCTCGGCGTGGTCCGCGGCGCCGGTCGTGGAGCCGAGGGTGGAGTCCGAGCGCAAGGTGCTGGGATACGTGTTGGTGTGCGTGGGCGACTTCCTCATCATGGGCGCTGGGCAGCTTGTGGCAGCGCTCGCGCGCGCGTGCCAGTCCTTCTGGAGGTGCAGCGCCCAGAACATGGTCAGTGTTGTCGCTCCGGGCGAACTGAAGCACCTCTCGTTGACCATCGAAGCGAGGGCCGACAGCTTCTTCATCCACCAGCGGGAGCACATTTCGGACCTGTTGGAAAAGTGGGGGCTGGATAAGGCCAACGGCACCGGCGCGATACAGTTCGAGCCGACCGGCGACGAGGAGGAGGCGGAGGAGCCGGAGGTGGGGGACGTGAGACTTGCCCAGAGGACGTCGGGGGCCCTCCTGTGGCTCAGCAGCCGGACCGGGCCTGACGTAGCATTTGTAGTGTCCCGCGTTGCCTCTGCTGCCTCTTCGCGCCCTCTCTGGGCGCTCCGCCTGGGTAGGGCGTGTGCTCAGGTATCTCATTGGCACTCGTACCTGTGGGCTGTTGTATATAGCTGGGGCGGGTGAGTTGCGCCTGGGGACTTTTGTGGATGCTATTTTTGAGCCCGACTGCGGCCAGTCGGGCGTAGCAGCGTACGTGTGCGAATGTTTGGTCGACTGGAGGTCGACCAAGCAGGCGCAGCCTGCCCGGTCGACGGCCGAGGCTGAGATCGCAAGCTTGGCCACCGGTTGCATCATGATGGAAGGCGCCGAGGCGGTGCTAGGATCGACGTTCGTGCGACCAGCGTCAGTGTGCTTGTGGGGCGACAACAGCGCGTCGCTCGCAGTAGCCATGGGCCAAGGCTCGTGGCGCACCCGCTGCCTGGCCAACAGGGCCAGCGCTCTGCGCAGCAAGCTGCGCCAGGGGACCTTGCAGCTCGGGCGCGCCCCCACTGCGGAGCAGAGGGCGGATGGCCTGACAAAGACTTTACCTGTCCCTGGCATGGCTCGCACGCGCTCGGCATTTGGACTCCGGGCGTAAGCGGCGAGTGTTTTTAGAGAAGCCATTTTGGCTGGAGCGCGGGCGAAATGCTGCCCCGCGATCCCGCGGGCCGAGTCGGTGCGACTCCGCGCTCGGCACAGGCCGCGGCGGAGAGGAGGAGTGTGGATCGGGGAGCGTAGCATAGCATCAATAACGCCATTGGCCACGCGGCCGGGACATGACATGCGGTGACGTTTACCCGGCCTGGACCCTCGGGAAATCATGTTCCCGGAGGGGCCTCCGGGAACATTAAAATCACAGGCTCGGCAGAGCCGGAATTCGTGACAGTTTCGTTGCCGTGTTGGGCGGTGCGTGAGGCATAGCGCAGCGCGGTACATTTCTGCCAGCGCTTAGGAGAACGACTTGCGGGCGGTGCGTCAGACATGTCAGGCGTAGCATGTCGTCAGTGAGCGCGGGGAGTGTGGCAGCGCCAGCCCCGCGCCCATGCAAAGTATAAAGCTGCGCTGGCACGTTGGCTCAATATGGAGCGGTCTCAGGAAAAACATCCTTCGCCCGTCCTGGTGAGGAAGAAGAGTCAGTCTCAGCGGCGACGCAGGCTGCTCCTCCGACTCCCCGTTTCTTGCAACACCCTCCTGAGGTTGAAGCTCAGGCTCCCTGTAGACAGCAGCCTCCGCCATCCTTTGCCCATGCCCCCGGCAGAGGCCCATCGACTGTTGAGCTTGATAGTTCAGGGGGCCCCTTTCGGCGACGTTGTGCAGGAGGCTGAAGAGCAACAGTTTTGAAGATGGCATTTGATGAATCGATCGTGCCCCATGCAGGGCCAGACGAGAGGAGAGCCGTGCAAAGCGTGACGGGGGGGGGTTCGAACCCCCCCCTTCCGTCCCACTCCTCTCTCCTCGGGCCTGCGCCTGCGTCGGCGGCGGCTGGCGGCGGCGGCGGGGACGACGATTTCCTTTTCTAGGCAGGCGCCGGCGCCTGCGGCGGCAGGCGGCGGCGGCGGGGAGCGTCGACGAGGACGACGGGGGTGTGGTGGTGGTGGTTGGTTGTGGTGGTGGTGGTGGTGGTGGTTGTGGTGGTGGTGGTGTGGTGGTTTGTGGTGGTGGTGGTGGTGATTGTGGTGGTGGGTGGTGGTGCTGGTGGTGGTGGTGGTGGTGGTTTGGTGTTGGTGTGGTGGTGGTTTGTGGTGGTAGTGGTGGTGGTGGTGGTGGTGGGTTGTGGAGGTTGCGGTGGTGGTTTGGTGGTGGTGCGGTGGTGGTTTGTGGTGGTGGTGGGGGTGGTGGGTCGTGGTGCGGTGGCGGTTGTTTGTGGACATTGTGCTGGTGGTCGTGGTGGTGGCGGTGATGGTGGTGGTGATTTGGTGGTTTGTAGTGGTGGTGGGCTGTGCTGCTGGTAGTGGTGGTGGTTGTGGCGGTGATCGTGGTGGTGTGGTAGATTGTGGTGGAGGTAGTAATGGTAGTGGGTTTTTGCGGTGGTGGTGGTGGTTGTGAGTTGTGGTGGTGGTGGTGGTGGTGGTGGTTGTGGTGGTGGTGGTGGTGGTGGTGGTTGTGTGGTGGGTTGGTGGTAGTGGTGGTGGTGGGTTGAGGCGGTGGTGGTGGTGGTAGTGGTGGTAATCGTCGCTGCATCCCCGCCGTCGCCAAGGTGGTGGGTGGGTTTGAACCCCCTCTCCCCCCCCCCCTGGGCTGCCTCTGGTCATCGTCGCTGCGTCACCGCCGTCGGCGCTGCTGGCGGCCGCCAGCGCCGGCCCCAGCGCTGGCGCCGAGGGGGGGTGGGTGTGAAACCCCCCAGAAGGGGGGGTGTTCGGGAGGGGGGAGGTTTTGGGGGGGGAGGGGAGTCCCCCTGGTTTTGATCGACGGCGCCGACAGTTGATGGGGGGGTCCCACCCCCCGGTTCGAAACGCGCCGCCGAATGTTTCCAAGGCGAACGCCTGTGAAACGCGCCCTCTCGGACCTCGAGCAGTGAATTGCTGCATTGCGGAGGTGAAGCGTATGTTGTGTAAGTTATGTGGTTTAAGATATGCAGTGTAAGCTTTGCGGTGTGAGTTGTGTTGTGCACGCTGTGTCGTGCAAGCTAAGAGGTGCAGCTAATGATGTATGATATAGGTGATGTGAGCTGTACTGTGTGAGCTATGCCGTCTGAGATACATGGTGTGCGTTATGGTGTGTAAATTATGTTGTGTGAGCTGTACGGTGTGAGCTATGCTGATTCACGTGTGTGGTGTGAGCTGTGTGGTGAAAGCTATGCCGTTCAAGCTACGTCGTACAAGCCCTCTAGTATTCATGATGCGGTGCGACCCATGTGGCGCGTGGCGAGAGCTATGCGTTACAAGCTATGTGGTGCAAGCTGTGCGGTGGGAGCCAGATTGCGCAAGCTATGTGGCGTAAGCGCATGGGGCGCCCACGGGGCGCTCACAAGCGGACGCGGGCGCCAACGAGGCGAAACGTCGGGAAACCCACCCATCGCACGGGGCGCCCACGAGGCGCCCACGAGCGGGCACGTGCGCCAACGCGGCGAATCCTTGGGAAACCCACCCATCGCACGGGGCGCCCGCGAGGCGCCCACGAGCGGGCACGGGCACCAACATGGCGAACACTTGGGAAACCAATCCAGTTTTTTAAGATCTAAGTGAGAACCATACACAGTGCAAGCATTGTGTTGGGGAATTGGAAGCTTGACGACGGGCCGTGACGATGAGCGTGACGTTGCGCGTGCGTGCCATATCCATTATTTATATCGCTTATTACCGCAAGGTGTTGAAGGCCTTGCTCGTAGCCGAGACTTACCTCGAGCGCAGAGGCAAGCTCGATGGGAAGACGATCGCAGCGACTGTCCGGAACGAGGCGCCAGCATGAGAAGGAGGAGGAGGAGGAGGAGGAGGAGAAGGAGGAGGAGGTAAGGAGAGGAATCTGACGGAGAGGAGGGGGACATGTGGCGGATGATACGGGGGACGGTTGGGGCGGCGGATGTTTTTGAGGGATCGATTACGGGCGTTGCACAAGTAAGCCTCTGACGTACCCCGAACTATGGCCAAGTATGGCGGCCCCTGAGGACCGTTTCCCATGCATCTTCGAGAAGTGCATTTGGCAGGCGGCCTAAACTCAGGGCATGGGCGACAGCCTCACCACTATGGTTCCCCTGTGGACGGCCACAGCAGTGGTGCCCGGTTTGGTGGGAGGGAGGGGAAGGGGGAAACGTGAGGAAAGGTAACGGGAAACGCTCAGCACCGCTGAGGGCATCACGCGCCTCGGTGGACGCGAGTATAGTTCCTTCTGCGCCTGAGGCGCCCGCGTGACGCTGCCGTTTGGCCACTGGTGGGCAAGCGGTGAAGGAAGAAAAACTAACGAATACATCACGAGTGGAGGAGATCCCGCGCCTGGAGCCTGCGACATGCCCTGGCCAAACCCGCGGAGCTCTGGGATGCAGCAGCGTTTGCTGTGCAAGGGCGGAGTAATGGTATACGTTCGGAGCCGTCTACTCGCGGGTGCGCAAGCACGCGCGTGTGTGAGTGGCAGCATGGCCTGGAAGGGGGGCTGCTGCGCAGGGACTTGCCGAGGTAAACACCTAAGCGAGAGCCCTGACGCATAAACAGCAGTGTTGTATTACCTCCTCAGGCAACACTGTTTGCCTGCGCTGCCTGGCCCAGCAACCCTCATCTGGAAGCGAGCAGAGAAAGGTGGAAGATTTGGCAGGCACGGCTGCTCCTGCAGCAGCCACCAGGGGAACTCCCCTCGCCTTGGGCCTGAGTCCGTTGGCGTTTGGTGGAACATGCTCCGAAGCACTGTGTCAACGCGCCTGACGGTGAACGCATGTTTAGTGAAGCCTGAACTGCATCATTCCCCATGAACCGATGTGCACTAGTTTGTATGTGTATTGTTAGTTCTATGTGGTGAAAACTATTTTGCGTTATCTTGTTGGGGCAGTCTATGTGGTGCAAGCATCATGGTACAACTTGTGTTGTGCAATACCTGTTTTGCCGCTAGCGATGCGCAATCTAGGTGATGATATCTAGTTTGCGCAACATATCTGGCGCAATATAGGTTGGCCCATCTATGTGGTGCACTATCTGTTGTGCTATCTAGATGGTGCAATGTATGTGGTGCAGTCTATGTGGTACAATATAGGTTGTGCAACATAGGTGGTGCAACCTATGGTGTGCTATCCAGATTGAGCAGTCGATGTTGTGCAATCTACATACTGTACTCTATGTGGTGCAGTATGTGTGGTGCAATCGTTGCTGTCCAGCGTAGATTGTGCGATCTGTGTGGTTAATATATATATATATATATATATGTATATATATGTATATAGATGTATATATATATGTGTGTGTGGTGCAGTCTATGTGGTGCAATTGTATTTTACCTATGAGTTGGCACATCCCATGCGCTTGCAAACATCCCACCCACCCACCCGCAACTTGGTTTGTAAAACCCATGCGGTGGCGATTGCGATGCATGCTTGGCGTTGGCTGGTGCATCTCTGCGGCCGCGCCGAACCTAGCACGCGCGCGCAGCGGCCAGCCAGTTTGACGCGGCCGACACGGCCGCGGTGGTGCTGACCGCTGGGCGCATCCCATCGGGCACTTCACTGCGAGTCGGCGAGTTGGGCGGGCGCGGTATCATGGCAACGTGTGGCGACGAGGCGGCGACGATGCGGAGACGTCGGTCACACGGACGCCAGACCGGCCGTCAGGCACAGTTCCTTGCAAAATAAGTTAGAGCCCCTGAGCGCAACTATGTGTGAGGAAATTCACACAAATGATACAATATCATCCCATCCCCCCGCCCGTTGCGACTTGTGGTCCAAATGGCACGTCGCTACAACCAACCACGGAAATCAACCCCGCCTGCTACCCCCTGTGTTCCGTGGGTGCCAGAAGGCGCCGTAGTGTTCAGCGCGAATCCGAGCCTATACGCGCTTCCCCGCTAAGGGTGCTCACCAGTTCCGCGCAAAAACATCAACACCATCACCTCCGTCATCAGTATCGTGTGTGCCACGATGTGGTGAGAGTGTTTACTATTGGGATACGAGCTGTGCTGAAAGTGTGTCCGGAAAACATGTATTCCGAGTATCTCAATAGTGCTCCCTGGGCTACAAGGGTCCCCTGGATTTCGAGACCCCCCCCCCTGGACTACACTGCGCGCCCCCCCAGACTACAGGTCCCACTTCTGGATTACAGGGGCCCCCCAGGCAACAGGCACCCCTCCTTGAATTACGGCGCTAAGGATTTCTTTTTCGGGCTTCCATTCACGAACCACCGAATCGCCCAAAAATAGGGCCCATATGAGAAACAAGCTGCCGAAGTTGTCTCCCTTGTGCTGAACAAGGGCTGCGCGCGTGCGCGCGCTGCGCCCGCCTGCCGACGGAAAAGTGCGCGCGCGTGCTTGTTCGCGGGTTGCCCGTAGCCTTTCGGCTCGCGGGGAGCCCTGTGAAGGCCCGAAGCACCCGACGGCAGGAGGCCCGGGCGCCTTCTGGCCGCGATGCGCCCGCCCCGGGGCCGGCGCGGCCCCGCCGCCGCCCTCGCGGCCGGGCTGGCAGCGGGCGCCCTGGCGGCCTGCCGCGCCGGCGCCGCCCTGGCCGTCGGTGGCCGCGTCGTCGCCGCAGCGCCGCGGCAGTGGTCGCCGCGATGCTGCCGCGCCGCGGGGGCCGCAGGCGAGGCCGCCGACAACGCCTCCGCGCCCGCCAGCACGGGCGACAGCCCTGCAGCGGCGCCCGGCGCGGGCCAGGTCGAGGCGTTCTTGCGGCTGTGCGCCGCCAGCGACCGGGGCCAGGCCGGCGGGCCCGCGCTGCGCTTGAGCCTGGAGGCCGCGGTGGCGGAGCTGGAGGCCTCCAGCCACAGCGCGAGCGTGTCCAGGTCGCCGCTGCTCGAGGGCTCGTGGCGCCTAGTCTACGCGTCCGAGGATCCGACCAGGTGCTCGCCGTTCTTCTGGGCGTTGCGGCGCCGGCTGGCGGGCGTGGAGGACCCGAACCCGCTGGGGCGGCTGCTCTTTGGGGGCGGCGATGTTCTCGAGAACGCGCTGGCCTTCACAGACAGCGTGCCGATCAAGAGCGTCGGTGTTGCCACCCAGCAGCTCCAGGCTGGCCGGCTGCTGAATCAGGTCGTGCTCAGAGTCCTCGGGGCGGGGGAGTCCAAGATGACCACAACCTGCTCCTACGAGGCCGACCCGTCTCTGCCGGGCGCGCTGCTCGTAACGGTCGAGACAACCCAGGTGCTCGGCGCCACGCTGGGATCCGAGTTGCTGGACCTCATCAGGTTCCCCTCGGGCGAGCTGCTGGGGGAGAGTGCGAGGGTGCAGATGCAGGTGACCTACTTGGACGACATGTTGCGCATCGTGCGCGACGTGGCTCGGCCCAGTGCCTGCTTCGCGTTCGCGCGCGAGCCGGAGTAGGCGCGACCGAGGGAGCGCTCGCCAGAAAATGATTTTGTTTAGAGCGATCCCCACCGAAATCTTCGGCGTTTGCTCCCAACGGTGCGCACGTCGCGTTTGAAATGTTATGGAATGTTATGTGGTTGGATGCTGTGCTACGGTGCGGTATGTTATGCCATTGTATGCTGTGCTACAGGATGTTATACCATGGTGTAGTATGGTATGCTGTGTTATGCATGATTGCATGAGGTTTGGCGCTATATTCTGTGATACATGAACAATGTTGTCATAGCTTATGGTATTGGATTGCGTCATGTTCTGGCATGGGGTAACATCGCATGTCGTGATATGTTATGTCATGACGTGTCATATGTGTTGCGATGCTGTTTACATAAATGTATACATATATATATATATATATATATATAGATATGTCATGTCATGTGTACTGTGATGATGTGCAATGGTGTGGTGTGCTATGTCATGGTATGTCATGCCATACTCGCATGTGCCATGTTATGGTATGGTCTGCGCTGTAATGTTGTGGTGTGGATGCTCCGATATGTCACATCATGCGTTGGCATGCTGTGTTATGTGGTGATGTGCGATGGTATTCGATGTGAGACTATGCCATGTTCTGTTCTGATATGATCAGTTATCCGATGATGTATTACGGTATGCTGGATTTGGCATAGTATGTAATGATCTGCGTTGTGATGCTGTGATATTGTATGCGCCAGTTTGTTGAGGTACGTTATGTTACGATAGGTTATGCCATGGTATGGTATGGTACGGTATGCTAGGATATTGGTTATGTTCGGTGGTGTGGTGTTATATTTTGTTATGCCATTTCTTATAGTGTTGTGCTGTACTACGCTCTGCTGTGTTAGAATACCGCTCTGCCATATCATGAATTGTCGGCGCAAGGCGGCGCTCTCGGGGACGCTCGGGGGACCTGGGGATTTGGCGGCCGCGGTATGCAGAGTGGCGCGAGGCGGGACACTCGGGGGACCTGGGGATCTGGGGGCCGCGGTGTGCAGAGTGAGCGAGTCGGCGCGAGGCGGGACACTCGTGGACACTCGGGAGACGTCGGGATCTGGCGGCCACGGTATGCAGAGTGGACGGGTCGGGAGGGCTATTCTTACAATCTAACGACACCAACCTGTCGGGCGGGGAAACAATTGTTCGCGGGTTGCGTGTCGCTTGCGCTTCGCGTTCCCCTGGGTGTTGCCAGGCTCGCACTTGTCGCCAATTAGTTGCGCCCTCGGGAGGCCTGGCGAAACGGCGCGAAACGTAGATCAGCGTGTTCCCGCGCCCTTGGGTTCCACACGCATGGTGCTCCACGAGAGCGTTGTTTCACGCTGCGCTCTGCTGAAAACGCTCCACCGCCCGACTAGACGACGCCCCCCAGATTACAGGGTATAGGAGTTACCCCCGGACTACATTGGCCCTCCTCCCCTGGACCACAGTTGCCCTCTTGATTTTTGGTCACCCCCCAAAGCATCGACGACCTCAGAATCCCCGCTGTGACTCGATTGTTCGAAGCACCGCGGCGCCCTCGAGCGCATGATTGAAAGAGGTGCCGGCGGTTGTCTTAGATGTTTCTCAGTGCGAGGCGACCCTCGTCTGTCATTCAGATGGGAGGTCTCGGGCGCACAGCTGTTTGGCATCTGCTTCGGTAATGTGGGCGCCTGTTCACGCGTGTCAGATTCTGGCACGCTACCCGGTGTCAGGTTTCATGGTCGAGGCAGTGCCGCTCGATGATGCCATCCAGTTCGTGCCCAGACTGGCTTCTAAACATGAGCCGGCCAAGCGTGCCCGAGCAACATACTTATTATTTTAGACGGTCCGCACTTCGCTCCCAGTGGCCGACCTGCCTGAAAGGCCAAAAGGCTGCCTACAGAAGCGCGCATCCAAGGACTGTCGGGGCTCGCCAGCTGGCATGGACAAGCAGCTACCCACGGTATGGAGCGCAAAGACGACACAGTGTCCAATGCACCAACTTCATCCAGGGATGGACGGCCTGGAAAACAGCATCAAAGGCGACTACATGCCTACAAACCCCACCGCGCGTGATCAGACCTGCACGGCCCTCGTGATGATGATGCTAGCGCTTCGGGAACCAAGGACCTGTCTCTCCCCATTCTCCGAACAAGAAGGGACAGGTGATATCGTGGAGGCCGTCCTGGGCATATGCAAACCTGGCAGCTCAACCGGCACCACATCCGTTGCAAGGGACCGTCATTTCCCGACTGTCGGAGAGGCCCCTACACAAACATCGAAGGCACCTGGGAGGACAACGACATGTGTCAACGTCTGGCTACGGCAAGGATTGCAGGGTGGCACGAGGGACTCAACTGCCGTTGGCTGTGGACTGGGTGCTGGGTGGGGAGCCTCGAGAAGCAACGTGCTGATGTCCCCGCAGGTGACTCGACGCGCGAAAAGCTGGCCAACCTACGGAACAGCATGCCCAGCAGGACCACAGCCTTCAGTCTGACACCGCCTGTGCACCTCCCGACCGGGCATGCCACAATCGCAAACCCAAGCGCCGACTGCCTGCTATGCGACCTCCTTCTCACACCTGACTCGGCCAACGAACCCAAGTTGACAGGCGTGGCGACGACCGCTTCGGCACAGAGGGACTCAGGTCTGAGGTCTACAGTGCTACCTGCGACGGCTGCCCAGAGCCCTAGCTGTTATGCACCTGGAAACACGGGCAGCCAGCGGTCGGGCGCTTCGTCTGGCGACCGACTCCTGGCAGGGAGGGCGCCGAGCAGTGCGACCTCCCCGGGGCAGCTGGATCGACTGCTGGGCGAATGGCGAATGGAACGCGGGGTGGTGCTGCGGGAATTGTCTTGCTCACATCTCTGACGCTGCTCCATCCGCCGTCAACCGCATCCTTGCGCGTGGCGCGCTGTTGACGCATCAAGCCCCCCCCCCCCCTCAGCACGGACATCCAAGAGGAGAAAGGGGCGCGGGGGGCCTCGCCCCCGCACTTGGCGAAGCAAGAGCGCAGGCACCACGCGGCGACGACGGCGACGGGTGCCGGTCACCATCTGAGACGTCGCCACTACCCACACCCAATCCAGAAAGAGTTGACGCAATCAAGGACATGCTTCCGAACATCACGATCCCGCAACTGCCGGACGTGGCCAACGCCAGGCTCGACCTTTTCGCCCAGGCATGGACTGGCGACAACAGCGGCGCACAGGGGCACGCCCCTGTTCAAATGTGCCTGCGCCTCAGACGTATTGGCGCAATTGCCTGCGACATCTTCTACGTGCTTGCGAACCAGTGCGAGTTGCCGGACAAAGGATTGGACGCCAACTGGCTCGCCGTTCTGGTCTGCTCCACCCTGGCCTGGACGTCCCCTCCGACGGGACTCACTGCCGACGGATTTGTGCCAGGCACGGAATGGGATGATAAAAAATGGGCCGCTGGACTGGTCGCGCAACGCCTCATCGGGAAGGGCGATCGGCTAAAGAAACTGGGCGGCACACGTCAACGAAACCCTCCGCGGGGACAACCGAGGGCCCGCAGCACAGACGAACTCGCTCACTGGCTGGCCAAACTTGACATCGAGAACGCCCCCGACCATGCGATGCGATTGGATAACATTAGCTTGGGAGCACCGGACAGATGCATGCGCCCGCGCGGGATGGGATCTCGGCGAATCGCCCCAAGCCGCGCCGCTGCACCATTCGACATGTCTCTTCAGGAGCTTAAGGAGGAAATGGACACGGTGGCTGATAACGCCAAGGAATGCATCCTGTCCACGTGCAAGCCTGGTTCTCAACGGGCACGCGACGAGGAGGAGAGGCTGGGTCTCTTGATCAGCGAAGTCATGGACGCCTCTCTCGGGAGGCATTTATTTCCTGCTCGCGCCGGCGCGGACTCAACCGGCAAGCCGTCGTCTCGACCCGAAGGTATACGAACAGTTGCAAGGAAGATCAGGGGCAGCTCAGGCAGCGAGCCTGCTGCCGCCATAGATGAACACAGGGGCCCTTGCGGCGGCGACCCGGACTGCGCTCCGGATAAGGTGAGCGAGGAATCTGAAGCGGACGTAGCAGACGAGCCCGAAGGAAGCCCAGCTACAGGTGATGGACACAACGCCGAGACGGCTGACGACGAAACATCCAGCGCCACAGACGACTGACCCCCGCTGCCGAGGAAGCAGGATCCGCCACGCCGGGCCCCTCCGGAAGGGCACGTGCGAGGCTGGGGACAGAGCAGCAGACGAGGACAACGAGACGGTCCCACTCAGCACAACGCTGACGACAGGATTGTTTCCTCGCGCGGATACAGGGACCAGTGGGGTGACGACAGGTCCTCAGACAGCCAGGCCACGCATTCTCGCGACGACGCCTGGCGCCACCAGGACATTCGCACGGGACACGACGGGATATTCAATCATGGCATGCGGGTGCCCTTTTCCAAGAGCCCACTGTCCATCCACGAGCCCAAGAAGAACGACGGGCCCAAGATGCACGACGCACCGCTGCGCGCGATCGACTCTCTACTCTCTTGGGAGTCCGACAGCGCTTTCGCCCTAAGGATGCAGAAAGAGCTAGGCAGCATGTTCAGCGACCTGTGGCGCGCACGCTGCGCCAAAACTTGACCCATTAACGCCCGGCCGACCTTCGACCCGGCACTGCGGCCGCCACGCGTGCGCCGGGTTTTCCTCGGCGCCTGGAGGACTGCAAACTACGACATGTACCGCGCCGACCATATCCTGCGCGCCAAGACCAGCTGTCGCAGCCCAATTGACAGGCTCACGGCTGTCAATGACGCCTCCAGCTCAGGAGCTGCCAGCAGCAGCGGGGCCGCCGCCTCCAGTTCCCACGCAGCGGGAGGGCGCCCGAGCAAGGGGAAAGGCAAGACGAAGGACGGACCCGATTCGCTGGGCAAGGTTGGGAAGAGGAACCGAGTAACCGAGAGCCCATGGAGTTCATGGCACGAGAAACGGTATCGTCAGTAATATTGGGCGTGGGGCATCACCCAGTTCCGACGAGATGCTGCTC